GGGAATCCGAAACGTCAGGAAAATAAACCTCTTGTTCCAGTAATCGTTTCTTATTCTTCTGAACTGCTTCCTGGAACTCGGATATTCTCCTGTATTGAAGAACTGTTCGTATTTCGCCAGCGGATATTCACGGTCATTAATGGTGAGATGGGTAGCGCAGGCGATGGTAACATAGAACTCATCGGGCAAATCCAGGGATTGCAGGTTTGGTAGCTTGATTAAAGGCATTTTCTAGAGCGCGCCATTGCTCAGTTATTTGGGATAGTGGGGCCGTCTGTATCGGTTTCATTATATGGCATCTCTTCCTAACTGTCCTTGAATGAAGGCCGTCGAAACTGGCGGATTTCTTGTTTTGTCCTTCGCTGCGTTTCCGATACCATGTACCAACAAAGTAACAGTTTTCGAGAGCTAATCTTGGAGAAGGTTATCCCCTATGGGTCTGCTAGTCATAACACTCGAATATACGACCAGCACTTGACGCGTTAGAAAATGTAACCGAATTCCTTTGACGGCCGAGCCATCTACCCTACATATTACGGCAGGTCAATCCTCTGCCTTAAGTTTAAGCTGACAAATGAGAGCATAGATACGCAACCCTTTTGTGGTTCCTGAGTTTGACTATCTTGATTTTTTTTTGAATAATGTGCAAGATCTCGCGTACTATATCTAGTTGTCTGTTGTGGTCAAATGGGGAAATCTTTCTCTATCCATGCAGATATACATGAATTCTTAGTGAGGAACGTAGACCACCTATCCCACGTAACGCTGGATACATATTCACGCGCGGAAAGCTCCCATTGCCGGCATCTGTCCAACGCAGAAGGGCTGCCAATTCCTGGAGGCAATGCACCCAAACTTTGCATACATCAATAAGCGTATCTATATAGACATCGCACCAAAGTTCACAAGAACAAGTCGAGATGGACACAACCAGACACGATCAGGTAAGAGAGGAATTTGGTGCTTCGGCAAAATTAGATTATGTAGCCCCACTCATATACCCCTATTCCCAGCATTTTCTCCTGAAAAAACGGTGGTAATATAATACCCCTACTCCCAGCATTTTCTCCTGCAAAAACGGTGTTTATAAAGTTTTAGGGGGGTGGGGAAATAGGATAGGCAGAGAAGGAAATTTTTAGAAGTAAGTGTAAAATGAAAAAATGTAGTCGAAGTTGCTACCGCCGGCCGCTGGGAGTAAGTTGTTCCGCATGTAAATTGAAGGTGTGCGCGGCGCTTCCCGCCGCGGACTATACTATACTAACTCTAGAACGGTAAGTTGCGCAGGTAAATTGAAGTAGATGACCTCCTAACCACCATTTCAATTTTTCGGGAAATTCAAGAAGGCTGCAATTTGATAATCGGGTTTTC